GGGCGATGGTTAACATCGAGCCCTGCACTACTTCCCTTGTGATCGAAGCAGCAGTTTTGCACGTGTGATTTTGTTGTGTGTTGGTAGATAAACCATGGGCAGAAGTAGTTTAACCTACATGTGAGTATGGTTATTTGGCTTGCCGGTGTTTTGAAATATATGTGACGCAATACACCTATACAGTAGTATATTAATCTCAGTGCTGCCTACCACCAGTTAGAACTGAGGAAGCCTTTTGGATAAAAGGAGAAACTTGTTCTAGAAAACGTCCAGTTGCCTAAACTGAACTTTTCCAGCTTGATGATGTGAGATGTGTGAACTTTAACTGCTCACCTACTCTTCTCTACATCAACTCAGTCTTTAAGGGTGGAAGGCCTCTTTGCCAGAGCTTTAATCTTTAGCTCTGTGTTTGCATGCATGCTATCATGAATGAATGCAAACAAAAACATATAATTTTTTTGTTTTTCTTCCAGTGAGTCAAACGTGTCCCACTGTTCAATCCCTCCACCACCAAAGTCACAGAAAATCAGACTTTCTCTTCCTTCGTCTTCTAAAAAACTTGTGCGAAGTTCCTCATCTGTCACACAGATAAAGAGGTGGGTGATGTCAGCCATGTTGAGTGGAACCTGCACCGTTATTCTGTGTTTCTGTCTCTTATACTGTCTATTATATGCCTCTTCCCTCAGCCCCTTCAGCCTCAGTCTATTCAGCTCCAGGCCTGCTCTGATTCACTGAGCTCAACTTGGGAAACTATGTCACAAGAAGGACAGTGAATGAATTGCAAAACTGGATCAACGAGGATCAGAAAAGGCCTTACATATCTTCAGCATATCGTTTATATGCATTTAAAGGACCTGGAATGTGCATCTTTGGTTTCCCAGAACATCAGATTGACGCTTCTTTATTCTGATATCACCCATGAATAGCTGATGGTGTAGCAACAAACTCTGAAACCTCTATATCAGGGGTAAACTATAAAAACTCAGCAGGGTCCGAATAAAGAAAATCAACAACCAGTAAAGGTCCGGGGACATTTTAAATTATAATCTTTTACTTTAAACAGAATTTAACACTGAAATAAAAAGCTGGGTTTTTTATGTATCTATGGTATACATTGAATTTTTAAATATACAAAAAAAATTAGAAAATTTTTCCATTTTAAAATCTAAAGTGTTTTTTGAAGTAGAAAACAACAATCGTTCAGTTTGGTATAGATAATTTCCTGATTAATGTCTTTTTTAAAATACTTGAATTTACCATTTTTGTTTTTTCTTTCTTATTTCTGGCTTAATGAGAGCAGTGGGCTTTAGGCTGACCTGCAAGGCATTCTAAAGTACACTTCAAGGTGCTCATTTTGAGCCTGGATCCATATTTATTTTTGGTTCTGTTCATGGTGAAGAATCCTGCTTCACAGCAGCAAGTTGAGCCAAACATTCTCTAAATGTGCAGGGTCATCTTTGAGCACCATTTCACTTTTCTTTTCACCATGCTTCTTCCAGCAGTCCACGTTTTCTCTGCTCTCTTTTTCTCATCATCTTCTCCTTCTTTCCCATCGCCCGGCTCGCCACAGGTTTCCCTGCTGTGTCTAAAAGTAGCAGCAGCAGCAGCCCAGACTGACACCAGCTCATTGCCTATATGGAATTACGTGTAACCTGGTCTCGGCACTCTGGACGGCTTTACCATGATAGGAGAAGCGGCACAAGTGAAGTTAGACAAAGTCGTTGGACGACATGTGGTTATTTATAAATGTTTTAAATTAGGATGGGACCGATTAGCCAGCAGGTGGGTCCGGATCCGGACCCCGGTCCACTAATCTATGACCTCTGGTCTATACGATCCTTTACTGAGAAATTTGACCGTGAGAACTGGACTGCTGCCACAAAACAGCTTCATGGCTCCAAGTTTTTACTGAATCTTTAGTAGAGCAAAGAATACAGCATAAAGCAGAGAATTCTCAAACTGTGTAATAATTCTGTAGAAGAGGATCCAGAAAGTGGAAAGCCACTTCCAGATGTTGTCCTGTCTCCTGGCTGTGTGTCACTGGGTGCGCTTTAATGTTAGATTTAGTCTTAAAATAACAAACCCCAGCCTTAAATGTCCTTGTTTCTGCTCCCATTCAGCATTTCTATGATCAAACAATGATCAACATAATCCTCAACAGTGGCATTATTTTTTTTTTTATTAATTTGGTACCAGATACACATTGAAAAGACAAATCGAGACTGAAATTGTACACTACTCCAAAAAAATTAAAGGAACACTTTGTAATCAGAGTATAGCATCAAGTTATTTAAACTTCTGGGATATTGATTTGGTCAGGTAAGTAACAGAGGGGGTTGTTAATCAGTTTCAGCTGCTTTAGTGTTAATTAAATTAACAACAGGTGCACTAGAGGGGCAACAATGAGACGACCATCAAAACAGGAATGGTTTTACAGGTGGAGGACACTGACATTTTTTCCCCTCCTCATCTTTTCTGACTCTTTTTCACCATTTTTGCATTTTGGCTAGGGTCACTGTCACTACTGTTATAATGAGGCGCTACCTGGACCCTACAGAGGTTGCACAGCCAGTCCAGCTCCTCCAGGATGGCACATCAATACGTGCCATTGCCAGAAGGTTTGCTGTGTCTCCCAGCACAATCTCAAGAGCATGGAGGAGATTCCAGGAGACAGGCAGTTACTCCAGGAAAGCTGGACAGGGCCGTAGAAGGTCTACAACCCATCAGCAGGACCGGTATCTGCTCCTTTGTGCAAGGAGGAGCAGGAGGAGCACTGCCAGAGCCCTACAAAATGACCTCCAGCAGGCCAGTGGTGTGAATGTCTTTGACCAAACAATCAGAAACAGACTTCACGAGGGTGGCCTGAGGGCCCAACGTCCTCTAGTGCGGCCTGTGCTTACTGCCCAGCACCATGGAGCTCGATTGGCATTTCCTACAGAACACCGGAAATGGCGAGTCCGCCACTGGCGCCCTGTGCTTTTCACAGATGAGAGCAGGTTCACCCTGAGCACATGTGACAGACGTGAAAGGGTCTGGAGAAGCCGTGGAGAACGTTATGCTGCTTGTAACATTGTTCAGCTTGACCGGTTTGGTGGTGGGTTAGTGATGGTCTGGGGAGGCATATCCATGGAGGGACGCACAGGCCTATACAGGCTAGACAACGGCACCCCGACTGCCATTAGGTATTGGTATGAAATCCTTGCACCCATTGTCAGACCCCATGCTGGTGCAGTGGGTCCTGGGTTCCTCCTGGTGAACGACAATGCCCGGCCTCATGTGGCGAGAGTATGCAGGCAGTTCCTGGAGGATGAAGGAATTGATACTATTGATTGGCCCCCACGCTCGCCTGACCTAAATCCAATAGAACACCTCTGGGACATTATGTTTCGATTCATCTGACGCCACCAGGTTGAACCTCAAACTGTCCAGGGCTCAGTGATTCCCTGGTCCAGATCTGGGAGGAGGTACCCCAGGACGCCATCCGTCGTCTCATTAGGAGCATGCCCTGACGTAGTCAGGCATGCATACACGCATGTGGGGGCCATACAAATTACTGAATACCATTTTGAGTTGCTGCAATGAAATTTCAGCAAAATGGACTAGCCTGCCTCATCATTTTTTTACTGTAATTTTTGGGGTGTCTTTGAATTCAGCCCTCTGTAGGTTAATAATTTTCATTTTCATCAAATTATGTGGCATCCTTTTGCTCCTAACACATCACCCCGTCCATTTCAGTATAAATAAACAGCATGATTTTTTGCCCCAATGAGATCTGATGTGTTTTCAGTGTTCCTTTAATTTTTTTGAGTAGTATATTTCAACATCAAAAAGTCCTAACCCCTGTAAGTAATAATTTGCTATTTGATAGTTGTCCTGGGTCATTTCATGCACCTATCTGTCACTTATGCATTGTCTTATTAGGACATATAAATAACACTTTTATGTTTACTAAGAAATGTAACAATAACAATACTATAAAGTCATATTATGTGACTGCACATAATAATATGCTGTATATGCACAAAAAAGTTTACTTTCTCTTAATTCTTAGTCACTGATTTAGATAATAGTGCTTTTAGAGATGAGCAAAATGACTTTTTGAAGTTAGGCAGTTTTGTATCTGCACAAAAACCTTACTTAGCAGAAGCAAATGAACCAATCCTGGACCGTATTTATCTGCTAAAGCTAAATCAGCCTTAGAACTAAACATCTAAGCAAAGAAACTACCTACTGGATTCAGAGAATGACTGTGTTTTGGTTCTTCCTGAAGTAAATATTCACTTAATGAGTGCAACTTTATAATCAACAGTCAGGAGAAAATACCATTTAGATGTCAAAACTTCGATTTGTCAGCTTAGAAATTCCACCTAGCCAAAATGATACAGTAGTTTTAATCAACATTTAATAAAATAAAGTCTGAAGGAACATAAACATAACAAAGAAGTCTCCCATCAAACCCATGCACTTTATTCTTTAAGCCTTTGATAAGTTCAAAACAAACTTGAAACACTTGAAAACACACAGTATATATTGCAGTGCACACAATATGTAAATGAGAAAACTCTGTAAATCAGCGAATAGAAACAACTCATTATATCATCATCTAAATTTCTGTGGACATGTCTCTCTTTCGAAATAATTTTAGCATCTTGAAATGTTTTTCAATCTTTGATGAGTGACTTTGTTGTAATATTCTTTGTTTTTCTATTCTGCTTCTTGTAACTACCCTTTAATCTTATGCAAATTACCCTTTTAGTTTCTGAGCTGTAATTTGGATTTAGATCAAAGATTAACTTTGACCTTTGCTGGTGCTGTTTACAGAATGGATTATTTTAATAGAGGTTTGTGTCTTATTCTTTTCTGGTGTACAGTTTGATACTAAAGATGATGCAGATTGATCCTTAAATGAAGAATAAAAGTTAAACATATAAGTTAAACATATAATGTGAGAGTGTCTCTTTGGGATTTGGGAAAATGAGGTCCTTCAGTTCTCATGAATATCACCAGGATCGAGATTCTTTGGAAGCTGCAGAGCAGAGGGCGTCCAGAACTTCCCCCTGAAAGAACAGGTTCCCAGTCAGATTCTGAGTCTATGTGGATGCCAACTAGTGTTGGGACTATTTGGTTTCACTGTTTGGTTATGAGGAGATCAAATTCTGCAACCCCCACACAAACAGACAAGCAAACTAAATAGCTCTAAATAAACTGTTATTTGCTGATAAAATATATAAACAGATGTTGTGTAGTGCTGTCTGCATATAATTATACATGCTGAAATCCTCATTTAGATTATTGCTATGAACTAAATTCAACTCTATGTCTTTATATCAAAGCATTTCTCTGATATGTCTGACTTTTTTACCTGACTGCTTTCTCCAGTAAAGATGTTCTGCAGCTTATACACAGTGACCTGGCCACAGCTGTCTCCTACCATGACGCAGTCTGAGAGTGATGCAAACAGGAGAGACGTCATCTTCAGTCCAGGGGCAGCACGCTGCACAATAACTGGGTTCAAACTGTAAGATAGGAGTGGATATTGTCAGGGAATAAGGCTCATTTGTTCGCAGTGGGTTGTTTATGGAAGGTGTTATGATGTAGGTGACAAAAGCACCTGCTAGCTATCAAACTTCACCAATGGACTGCAAATACAGCTGGTTGATTTTTCTGCTCATTTGGACTTACAAGTTGGTGTTAAGGTCCCAGATCTCAAGCTGGCTGTCGTTAACAGCACCAAATACCGCAGCCTGCCTCGGAGACCACCTGACTTCATGAACTGCCCTGTGGTTGGAGGTGAAGCTTAACATGGGACTCTTGCAGTCCTGCTTCCAGAGTTTAATGGTGGAGTCTGAAGAGCAGCTTAGGAACACATCTGGGTGGAAAGGACACCATGTCACGCAGTTCACAGGACCCTAATAGGGAACAAAATAGAGACCAGTGTCTTGATCTGCCCTGAAAGCTGACCTTGATTACTTGTTTAATTCACCTGCCTTTCTCGTCCCTTCTGTAAATCTTTCATCTTATTCACTTGCATTGGAATTATTCCATCAGAGTGACTACTTCCTCTCCTGCTGCTTGAGCCTTAATTATAGGCAGCAGCTGTCAGTCAGTGCTGAGGTATTTCTTTAAATATCATGACACAGGACAGAATGACCCGGTATTCAAAGCAAGACAGACAGTGGATTAACTCAAAACATTTATTTAAGACATGGAACTGTTGATCCATGGTATCAGCAGCTACGGGGTCTATCACTAGTAACTCTGGTAACTGGAAACACAGGTTAGTGACCATGTAAATCTAATGGAGGAAGATTATGAACGTGAGTCACTAATCTGGTTTATCAGGTCAGTCCATTGCCAGAGAACGAGGCAGGATCTGGCCGGTGGGCTGCCAACAAGATGTGGAGGGCGCCACCCAGAATGTCCCAGCAGCTTCATCTAGGAGAATATGCAGGAGTTTGAAACCAGGTCAGACATACAGATCAGAACAAGAGCAGGCTGGTGCAGGGATCCAGAAGTCCAAAGACAGTTCAGGCAATCCGTTCAGATGGGAACAGACATGCTCAGTGGTTGAGAGGCAGAACAGGCCAGGATCAGAAACTACCAGGTACGCTAAAAAACACTCTGTCCACTGGGATCAGACAGGAACAGGCATGTTCAGGGGATGAGAGGCTGAACAGGTCAGGATCAGGAAATCAGAAACACTATGGTATGCTAAAAACCCTCTCTCCACTGGTCCCCGAGAAAGAGAACAAGATAATCTGGCCCTGATAGCTGGATACAAGTTCCTTAAAGTGGCAGAAGCAGGTGGTTCAGATGAGCAGTGATTAGAAACCAGGCCGAGTCAGACAGGTGAATAGAGTGCCAAGATCATGACATTAAATTCAAGTTTCTAACCAACACTGATGAAGTCTTTGTTCCTGCACATAATGAGCAAATCACAAAAACAGCCTTCAGTAGGGCTTTTTCTGCAGAAACACTGTCATTAAATCAGCGGCTGTGTGCCATTGTCTCTCATCTTCTTCTTCCTGAAGTTGAGCATAGCTGTCCACATGCACTTACACCAAGAAACCATAGTCCTTATTTACTGTATATACTGTAGGCAGTCGTGTACAAAATACTCAGTACTTGAGTAAAAGTATTGATATTCATAGCAAAATCTTACTCAAATACAAGTAAAAGTTACTCAAACATCTACTCAAGTCAAAATATTGAAGTAATCACTTTTGAAAATACTTCAGTATTCAAAAGTATGTGCATTTAAAAGTAATATAGTATTTAAAAGTACAGAGCTAAGCTGAGCCAAAAGGAGGAAGGAACTAGCAGCTTTCTTGAAATGATGTAGAGCAGACAGTACAATAATTAACTTTGAAATGTAGTAGAGTGAACTTAACTTAAATTACAATAGGCCTTCGCAGCACTTAGCTGCTCGGGCCTAACTATAAGTACCCCCCCAAAATATCACTAAAGTAAAGCAAAGATACTCAAAAAATACTTCACCACAGTAATCAAGTAAATGTACATTATTACTTTCCCCCCCACTGACGGTTATTGACGAATAACAAATTTGTTTAAAGCAAAGTAATGACTAATGCGGTACTGACCTTTATGAATTAGTTACAGTGCTAGTTACTGGAAATGTAATGTAATTGAAAGACTTCCGGCAAGACATTTTGAACGTAACTTTACCTAGATCTGGATGGTTGGACAAACAGTGCATGAAACCAGTGCAACAATGGCGCATTTACCAGTAAAAGGAGTTTCAGTTACTCCAGTTTCCAATAAATATTGCCCTTCATCACTATCATAATCATCATTAGGAAGCATATTTGTTTATGAACTGATTTGAATTTAAACTGTTGAATATGTTGATTATTGGTAATTCATTCAAATCCTTCTGTGGATGCATGGTTAAACAGCAATGCTTGACTTTCCTCCGTTCATTCTTAAAGAATTTAAGACAATTGAAAGAATCTTTAAAGAACCTTTTTGTTAGTTCTACAGATCAAAGTCATTTGTGTGACCACTGTGGGTTTTGGTCATTAAACAACCAACAATTGTGTCCACATTGCTATGTTTATTTACCATAAAGTCTCTGAATATTTACTCAAATTTCTTAACCCCAACACTCAAAGTAACACTATGTCTGTAAACTAAGAACATCGGAAGTAAAAAAAAAAAAAAAAAGGCAATAGTTGGATCTAGTTTTCTGGATTCTTCTCAGGAAGAGACAGTGGTTTTAAGAGTGCTGAACTTACAAAATGTTTCCTGTAATTTTCCAGAAGGTCATAAATTCGGGAGCAGGAACGCTTTTGGATGTTTCCCTCCAAGGTACAAGTCAAGTAGATGTTGGCGTCCTGTAGAAACAAGCAGTCTTTGCGAGAAATACAGGTGGCAAATGATCCGACAGTTTCTTCTACATATTCTGGAGCAACTTACAGTTGGATGAAAGTCAAAGTAGAGACCAGAGGTGAACATAGGCAGCAGATATCCTTCTTCTGTCTCTGGTTGGTTCTGTTTATCCATCTCCGGGGTGTTAATCCTGTTGAGCTCCATCAGGTCTTTGAAACAGCAATATAAATGTCAAAACATACAGTATGTAGTTCTTAAGTGTAGCATTATTATTTACTGGGGAAACAAACCTTTTTTGTGTCCTTTAAACTGTAGTTTGTGATTGCTCACAATCCTCTGTTGTTGAGTCCAAAAAATTTCCCTTTCCATGTTAACTTTTAGAGAATCACTGGTCTATGTCAGTGTGTTTTTTTTTCTGCCGTTGATTGTAACACTCTTGATTTTTTTCAGAGACCAAAGGTTTCCTTTATGCTCACCTTAGGAGTATCTTACATCTTTAAGGCCTGTTTCTGATTATACAGACATGCACTTTGAAGACAATATGAGGCGGCGGGCATTAGAGATCAACAGCTAAAGCTTTTCTAAGGCTGATTTTGATTCATTTGACTTTAGTCTAACTGATCACCAATATGTGCTGCTGATTTTTTTGGGGCCAATTCTTTAAGTTGATATTAGTTTTTTCCCTACATTCTCATGATAAAAAAAAACCCATTTATAACAAATGTTACACAAGTCTCAACTTAAACAAAAAAAAAGAAACCTTTCTTAACAAATTAGAGAAAGCATTTAAATATAATAGCAGATGGCGGGAGTGGCAACGTATGCTCTTTATGTGACACAAGATAAAAATAATGTTACTGGAAAAAAATAGCTGAGACAACGTGGCTACTACCGTCTGTCAATTTTACACAAAGTGCTCCATTTTACTTGCACCCCCGCCATGCTTCTGTGTTTTCGGCTGAGAGGAAGAAAAGACGAGGAGTCCTTGTTTGTGCATGCGCACTGAGCGGTTTACCCAAGACCATCTTACAATGGCTGACTGAATTTCAAACATGTTACATTTTCTCCCGACCTTACGATTCCTGATCAGGAGGTGGTTGTGAGAGGCTGATCGCCCCTTGTTACCCCCCTGTATACTACACAACGCATGACGCATAAGTTGGCCCGACTGAAAAATTCTTGCACAACTGGAGAATCGCTCCGAAAAGTGGGAAAAAAAAATCAGATTAAGGATGTTTCAAATACATTTGAACAAAAACTCTCAGGTTTTCTCTAATATCTAAACATCCATAGGTTCGTAAATTTGGACGTATGGATGTGTTTCAATTCAATTCAGTTTAATCCAGTTTTTTTTATCTAAATGTTAATATATGTCTGATGTCTGTGACTGAAGACACTCTGTTAGTGTTTCACACTCTTCTGGAGAGTATGCTATATGATCCTCATCATTTTATGAAGAATGCAGGACTTAAGCTTCCATAGTGCATCCTAGTTTTTATTACTTGTAAATAAATTTAAGATCAGTTTTAGAAAAAGCAATCCAAAGCTTAAAACCACTTGGATTTTGTTTCTTTGTGGATCTAAGTGCACTTTAAACTACAATTCAAATTGTTTAATGTGAGAGAACCGCACCTGTGCATTCCAGGCAACCATTAACGACAAACCACTTGCAGGTCCTGCCGTCTTCACCCAGAGAGAATAGATTCTCAACCCTCTCCTTTTCAGTGAAGCTCTGTTCTTGCAGGTTCCACCTGAGTAGCCTGACTGGCCCACGGTGTCTTTTGAGACTTTCCCTGCATGGGCACATCGAAAAAGAAGGGCACCAAACATGAACTTAGTCAGGCACAATATGTGCACATTAACATAAATATGACTAATTAATACTTATTTCCATCTTCAAATGATTGTGATGTGTGTGAGTAAGGCCATAAACCGTTTGTATTCATAGTATTAATGTAGGAACATTGCCAGGTGAATAACTGCTATGAAGTCAGATTTTGCCAACAGTGCACAATATACACTCATATGAGCAGTTTTATTTAAAACATAGATCCAAACTCCTCTCCACAGACATTCTCATTGGAGATTCAACACCATGACCACCCAATGCATCACAACCAATGCATGCTCCTTCTCTGCGCTTGTGGCTTGTTTTGCATCTGTAGATTCTGTTCTACTGGTTTGCTGACCTGTCTCTGTGCACTCTAATATTACTGATATGTATATACTGATATATACCACGGTGAATAATATTGTTTAATCACCATGGTGTTGGCCTTCCACACATGGATATCTAAGGGATACCCACTGCTCTGGAAGCTCTTTTTTAAGTTTAAATTGGTTGTCTGTTGACTTCTTTTTGCTGCAGTTATGTTCTCTGTTTTCTGTCTCATACAGATGTGAAAGCAGACTTATAGGAGCTGCTGTATATCCTCTGTATTGTTAATTTTTCACCTCACCTTCCTTTCTGTCTATGAGACCATTGTAGACAATTTTACTCCCTAATTAATTTTCAATAACGTTGCATATACATTATCAAATGGAGCCTTATGGTAACAGACATAATGTTCAGCCTGTTAAAGCAAAGCTGTTGAGTTATCTAGTTCCGGGACATCTGTTCCCAGACCTACATTTGCAACTTGATCTTGGAACAAAAGCTCCAGGATATAAGCACCTTTCAGCGGGAAAAGGCTTTCATGCCAGCTTATAAGTGGCATTTTAACCAAGTACTTTTTTTACTCCTACAGGAGTCATTTTTTGAAGGACTGCTTTTTACTAACACAAATTTGATGAAGTAGTGCTACTGTTAAGCACAGCTTTTTGGATACTCTGCCCACCTCTGAATATGGAGTACTACTACTGGGCCTAATGTTTATACCAGTGCTTTAACCGCCACACTCATTCCTCACCAGCTGCTGAAGGTGGGTGCCTTGATATCCGCAGTCTGCAGGTTATAGATGGCAATGACGCCGTCACTCATCCCCACAGCCAGCCGACCAGGGTGGTTGGCTGAGAAATCCAAAGTAGTAATGGCACCATCGCAGTAAATTATACGCTCAGGCCACTGCAAGAAAGGACCAAAATTTACAGCTTTTACATCAGGTGTATGTCTTACTGCAAGACTTTACTAGAAAAAAATATGTCATGGGAAAACACTGCTGATGTCTAAAGCAGTTAGACCCCCCCCCATGGCTACATCAGCACGCCACATTGGCTACATTAGCACAGCACGCCAACGTCCTGAACGCTGTAGATGTTCGACTGCTGAAACATACTTGACAACCTCTCAGTGCTATTTTTGACAACCATCTTCCTGATTTTGGTCAGATCACCTGTTCCGCCGTTCCCATCAATGAGAAAAAAAGTTCTGTAGTACACAGCAAAACCTGATCTAAAACTGATAAACATTTCTTCAAATAAATTAATTTGCCCTAAATGTGAGCATGAAAAATAAGATGATCTGTCAGTGGAATGACTATTTCTGCCCTTAAAATAGATAATCAGTTATTATGCACTTCAAATAAGATAACAAGGAAGTTTATTCATATTTTATACATCTTATTCCAGTGGTGAATGGTCTAACTAGTTTCAATCAACAAACAGGAAAATACACTATTTAAAAAAAAAAAGGTCTTAATTCAATTCAGATTTTTGCAGTGCATTTGATAGTTTACTACAGTTCAAACTAATAATAGTGTTTCTAAACAACGTGTTGGTTCAGGGTGCTCTGTTTGTGTCTTTGAGTTATAATAGTCTGCTTGATGAAGAGTAATCGGTCATACCGTGGGGTTTATAATGCACCAGCAGCACACCAGACCTGGTTTCTGGTTCATGGAGTCGGTCTCACTGTAACCTACAGCAAGAAGGTCCTAGCACAAAAAAAGGAGAAACAGTATTATAATCCTGAAGACACAAATGGACGGGTCAGGATTTATTATGCTTTTCAGTTCATTGTCATAAAAGCAGTTCGTGTTTGAACTGTTGGTGGTAACTCTTATAGTTTTTATTTTGCATCAATCCAACTCGGCTGGTTTTTGAAAGCTGACTACATTATATTCAGAACACTTTTATATTATTCAGAACACTTTTTGACCTAAAAAAGATTCTTTTTTATTATTTCTACACAGTTGAAATTTCATTTGTTATTTTCTGTTCAAGCTAAAAATTCACATTACTATTTCAAAGTGATTACATTTTCAGTACTTATTTTTCAGTTTAATTTTTCAGTGTTAAAAAAATCTGCATATAAAAAAATTCAACCTTTCAAAATTCAAACTCAATATTTTCAGCCTCCTTAGATTCAACTGGCTCTATTTCACTGTCTTAAACTCGGCGTCTAAATTCAGTGTAAAAAGGGAAGGGTTACTCCAGGTCACAGACATTAGCAATGGATTGTGGTGTCCAACACCAAGCCAATCCTGTTACGTTTTCTTGGTCACGTGACGTGACGTTTGTGGCGCTCATACTGAAGGAAAACCAGCATGACGGAGCCGGTCATGCAAGCTAACGCTAACTCAACTACAGAAAAATGAAAGTAATAAACTCACCGTTGAGTTCCCAAAAAAAAAAAAAACACGCCAAAAGTTCTGATTATTGGGAGGAAAACAAAATATATATAACGCATTCAAAATTTCAAGAATACATAAAATTTCAGATATTATGCCAAGCTGTGCCAAAATGGCACAGAAGGTTCGCCCAGATTTTTCTAAATCCAACCATTTATACCTTTTAACCATTTATAACAACCATTTCTAATTCCTTGGTGTTCATTCAACAAGTAACTACTCAGTTACTTGTTGAATGGACACCAGGGTTGCTACAGATGTAACCAAGATGTTGTAGTCACTGTTTATTATGTTTATTTCCTTTGATACAGGAAAAGTACGGAGCTTTGTAGGTGAAAATCTTTGTTTTTTTTTTCATTTAAGCCATGGCATACATTGTGCGATTTTTTCAGTCGTTGCACGCAGCTACTGCTCACACTGTACCACTGAAAACCACATCGGACTTGAGAGATGGAGCTGCACTGAGTCGTCTATCCGGAGGCGAAACAAATAGAAGAGGAATATGGAGCTCACTAGAGTGAAATGTGCTGCCTTGGCAATTTTTGCAATTTTGTGCTGAAAGCCTAAAAAGTAAAGGCGACGGCATAATTCGAAAAAAAAAGACATGGCTGAGCAAACATAGCTACTATGGTCTGTCAATTTTACAGAAAGGACTCCATTTAACTCATTCCATCCCTGCCATGCTGCTGTGTTTTCATCTGAGAGGAAGGAGAAAAAGAAGAATCCTTGTTTGCGCATGCCCACTGAGTGATTTGCCTGGAAACTGGAAAATCGCCCCGAAAATTGCACAGTGTACGCTGGGCTTGACTCAGGCCCAGATTAGTTTACTTTAAAATTTTACTTCCACTTCATGCACCAGGGTCATTATTTCATTTGATCAAGAGTTACCAGTTTAGGCAGTGTACAAGTTGAAAAAAGCCTTAGAAAGTATGAGTACCGGTATGCCTTTTTTGGAAAATAGGATAGCAGGCTTAAGAGGTTTTAAAACCAACAATGAAAATAAGAAAAAAAAGAATCCATATGCTTGTTATCTGTTTATGCTTTCAAATTTAAAGAACTGGGTAAATGCTTCAATGGCCTGTTTTGTTTGTAGTAGGCAGTGACTATTACAATTATGGGAAACATATTACGTTTGAGGCTGCTCCGTGGTACAGTGGGTAGCATTGGTGCCTTGTAGTAAGAAGGTTCGGGGTTTGATTCCCATCACGGGGTCTTTCTGCTTGGAGTTTGCATATTCTCTCTGAGCATGCGTGTTCTCTCTGGGCACTCTGGCTTCCTCCCACAGCCCAAAAACATGATTGTTAGGTTAATTGTCTTCTCTAAATCTCCAGGTTAGACCCCGCCTCTCGCCCATAGACAGCTGAAGATAGGCACCAGCACCCCTCTTGGGATAAGCGTGACAGAAAATGGATGGATATTATGTTTGCAGGACTATTAATTCAATTCAGTTTATTTATATAGTGCCAATTCACAACACATGTCATCTTAAGGCACTTTATAGTCAAATTGTCATGATCTGGCCTGTTTGCTCTCCCTTAATTAGTAATTCCTTTCACCTGCCCTCTTCCCTCCCTGCCTCATTATAATTAATTCCTCTCACCTGTTTCCTCTGGTTTATATTCAGTTCAGCCTGAGCATTCAGTGCCAGATCATTGCTTGTCTTTCTGTCAGTCTTTCTGTTCAGTTTTTATTTGGTTCATGTCCTGGATCCTAGCAGCCAGTGGAAAGAGGGTTTTAGTGTTTGTCTCGTCTCCTGATCGTCCACTGTTCCTCCCCTGCGGAGTCCTCTGGGTTTTTGGCTCATTATGGGGGGGGGTTCAGTTTTTATCTAAGTAAGCCTGGCTCCTGGGTGGAGACCAGTTTAAAGTCTGCTTCAAGTTCCGGTTCCACGTCCTGTCTCGGCTACCCTCTTCCACTGAGCCTGCCTGTCTGCACCTGATCCTGTCTGCTCCTGTGCGTGACCACCTGGTCATGCTTCTGGTCCCAGTAAGACTCTGAACCCTCCTGGAAGTCTGGATCCTGCCACCTGTCTCTGTTCCTGCCTGATCTGGATCCTGCCTGTTTCTGTCTGTTCCTGTCTGTTCTGGATCCCTGACCAGGATCAGCTTCCACCATCACCTCTGGGACTGCAGCACTGGGACACTTGTGGTCTGGACTGTTAAACCAGAGTGTCTGAGATTGGGCGGTGCCCCGCCCCCCCTGCCTGCAGTGTCCGCGAGCCACAGCTCCGCTTTTGTTTTGTTTTTATTTTAATAAACCTTTTGAACTTTCCTACTGACTGTCTCTCCTGAATACTGGGTCCATCTGTCCTCGGTACATGACACAAATTGATTCAAAGTTTTCTATTTAAGGAAAACCAGTTGAATGCATTGACTCATTGAGTCGAATGCAATCCCTCACACTAAGCATGCTTGTAGCCACAGTGGAGAGAAAGTCCCTTTTAACTGGAAGAAACCTCAAGCAGAACCAGGCTCAGTGTGAGCGGCCATCTGCTGAGGCCGACTGGGGTTCAAGGAGACAGAAGCAGAGATACAAAAGGTGACTGTAAATGGCGGCCCCGTCCAGGAAACACACAGCCAGGCAGACGAGCTCAGAGCCAGCTCTCATGTCAGAGGATGAAGAGAGCACATCCAGCCAGAAGAAGAAAAGAGAAACAGGATTACACTGAAAAACAGGCCGATTTCCAACATCTATAAACAAAGAAGTACTAGATTGACTGGCGGGTCCAGGTTGTACCCTGCCTCTCGCCCGTAGACAGCTGGAGATAAGCACCAGCACCCCTCGCGACCCCACTTGGGATTAAGCGTGTCAGAAAATGGATGGATGGATACTGCATTTCCCGGCATGTTACAAATCACATGTTATGTTTGTAGTAGGCAGTGGCTACATTCGTCATTTTAATTTAGTTAAGCTTTTTAAATACTGGCAATTCCCAATATGTCATCTCAATTTACAATAGTCAGTTAGTTACAATAGTCAGATTGAACACAAGTGTGAAATATATTACATTTGTGGGATTATCATATTTGCAGACATTACAGCTATTCATCACATTTGTTTTTTTTGTATTCGGAAACCCTGTAGTCCAAATTTGAACTGTTAAACCCAAGGAAAGTGAAGAGACATAAGCTAGGAACAGGAGTGGGGAGATTGAGCCTATGATCCACTAGATTTTGATCCTACACTAGACGTATGAGCAAGCCTTGTAATAAAGCTAAAAGGGCAAGTTTACATCTAAGTTAGTTCGTAAGCCTTGCTACAGAATTTAGGAGGGTTTTATGTGAACTCAAGGTTAGATTTTTTTTTAGTCTGTATCTTACCGGATTATTTTTGTCCCAGGCCATGCAACTGACAGTGCGCCCTCTTGTGAGCTCACAACTGAAAACCCAAAGACATTCCAGAGCTGGAGAGCAGGAGATCTCTGTACAACGTTTACTCTGGTCCATTTCCTCAGGTTTTCCTGGTCTGTCGGGATCTGATGAAATCATCAGAAGAACATTAGAAAAAACTTTTTTTTTTCTCTAATGTTACAATTAGTCAATTATCCCACCAATGAAAAGACTGAGTTAACAGTTTACCTCCCAGTAAAGGCAATCCTCTGTATGCAGCCAGAGGACAATGGAGGATGCTCCTTAAAACGATTCTCTCCGTTATAACCAAAAGGTAATGGAACTTCTCTGATGTCTTGATGAGCTCCCAGTCCAACTTGGTGTTTAAACTGGTTCCAACAGCTTCCACGTCTTTCAGTGAGCAAGAGGAAATGACAAACAGCTCAAATGTTTGAGGGAAGCAGAATGCTTCTCTTAAAGCACTTAAATGAAAGAGGGGCATATTTCCTTTTTTTGTGATTTTTTGATCTTACCTGTTCTAGCTGAAGTGTTCAAGGACATACTCCTCTCAGCACTTCTGCTAAATTCCTCACCAGCCTCAGAATAGCTGGTCTGTTTTTCCTCCAGGCTTCCAATCATCACTTCCTGCTCTGGATATTCATGCATGTCTACAGCTATTGACAAGGATGTTATCGATCATTATCCTTCAAAAATCATCTGAAGGAATATATTTGCGAGTACAAAATAAGAATGAAATAAAAAAAAAAACATGCAAATCGTGGGTTTTTATTATTTTTTCCTCTACAATATCCACAAGCACATACATGTTTGGGCCTAGAGTTTCATTTTTTCATGGCTTTGGATGTTATTTTCTCTACAGTCCATTGGGCTTTAATGTTGCGAAGAAAATTGCCACAAATTGCAGTTAAACTCCTTCAAATTATTTAAATAACTGCAGCCAGAGTTGTGATGAAAATTAAAAAGAGAGATCATACCCAGAATAGCAACTCTCCGTCTCACTTATAAAGTCCTTAAGAACAAAGCTTTACCTAACAGCTAACAGAGCAGTTTATTCTCAATATGCAGGTTTAGTAGTGGTTCCTAGAATTTATAAAAGGTAGAATACGAGGCAGATATTTTAGTTATCCTCCTCTGGAACCAACTACCAGTTTTAGCCGGTGAGGCAGACACCCTGTCTACTTTTAAGGCAAGGCTTAAGCCTTGGTGTACTGAAGCTCAGGTGTTCAAATTTGCCTATCAGATGCTGTGGAATGATGGTGTTGAAAGCTGAGCTTAAGTCCAGGAACTGCATCCGCAAATGGGTGTTGTTCCTGGACTTCAGTTCAGCTTATCTCTAGCTTATCTATAGTTATGCTGCTATTGGCTTACACTGCTGGAGGACATAGGGACCACTTTCATCATTCTGCCTCTTTTTACTTCTATTCTCCAATATTTATTATATAAGTTATAATTATAAATTATATAAGTTCAATGTCTACCTTTATGTTCTCTCTGCTTTTTCTTGTCATAGTGACTTAGCCTGATGCTCTGTTTAGCTGTTACACCAGTTTAGCTGTTACACAGCAGGTTACAGTAAATCTGAGGTAACTTAATTTTCATCCAGTTTTTTGTAAAACGTATTGGTATCTATGAAGAGGTCTATGTTCATTTCTGGCAGCTCACATTGGGGAAACTTGTAGGGAATTATTGATTTAAGGACACTGAGGCCTAGTTCTTAAACTGTCATTAGATGTCAAAACTTTTCAAAAAGATTGAACAAAAGTCTGGTTGTCTCTGATTCAGGTCTCTGTGGTTGCTATCACCCAGATGACTGAGAATTTGCACAGGCATATGGTATAAATAGGTTTTGAAAATACAAGAGGTCAGTGTGAATAAGTCTAGAGAAACAAGTAGGTGGGTAGAAGGTTTAGAGGAGCATCAAAGGGCATAAAACCAGCACTCTGGATTCTATATATAAAATGCACCTTGTCTATTAAGAATTTATTACAAAAATATATTACATTTGTTCTTACTTTTTTTGTCTTATATGTAAGTCTGCTTGATAAAAGATATTTATCTGTGAATAATGAGTGAAAATAGACGCCCTGTTGAAGAACCAAATAATTTTTATACTGTACTATACTCCTCACTAAACAAAAGTAGTTAATTAAACCAAACCTGCATCGGTCTTCAGCATGAGGTCCATCTGCGTACATTTGTTTTTAGCAGCCCTGTTCAGCGTCTGCATAACCCGATCCACATAGTTGTCAATTTTAAATCTCTTCCCGCAAGCTTCAGCATACTGTTTATTTCTCTCTCTGAAACACAAACATCAGGGAGCGGAAACAGTTTGTTTAGATAAGAAATAAAAAAGAATAAGTTTTAAACATTGGCATACGGTGTATAGGACCAAAAAAAAGTCTACACTCACGTTATGATATCTGCACCATCAGAATCCACAGAGACAACATTGGGGGGTATGTCCAGCAGAGAAACACAGTCTGTATCAGTGATCAAAATCTCTTTTAGCATAGCTTGAGTCACTTGTTCTTTCACCAAGTCTTTTTTCAGCTTTTCCTCTGGAAATAAGAATTAAAGAAGGAAGGAAAAAGTTAACCAAAATACCCCAAAAAATGTTCATCCACTGTGTGCGTCTGTAGTTTTTAAGTTGAATTTAATAACATAAGATTGATTTAGGTAATTTCAGTTTAGGTAAAATGTTAATGAATGCCTAAAATTACTTTAGAAAGTTCCTCTTTAGTTTCAAGAGTATCTCAAGTGTATTTAATCACTTTCTGATCAGAGTATCACCTCACAATATATATATATATATGTATATATATATATATACATATATATATATATATATATATATATATATATATATATATATATATATATATATATATATATATATATATATATATATATATATATATATATGTATATATATATATATAGGTGTGTGGTAATTAACCTTGAAAACTGATGGGTAGGTCATATTTGGAAAACATCTCCTCCATTTCCTCGTTCACAAACTCTTTCTTTGGCTGGCTGGATGTTCTACTGCTATCCAATGGTGACCTGAAAAACAATGTCAGAACATATATTTACAGTCATTTCAAGCACAAAATAACACTTGCTAACAGAGGTTTGTTTTACTGCCTTTGTGCTTGTTTGCCTTTTGAGGCCAACTGTCTAAAGGAGCGATGCATGAAGTACATTCCCATCAGCTGAATTCCCTCATCATCAGCTGTGTTCAAGGATTTTAAATAATAATAAAGAGGTAGATTAAGGCCTAATTTGCCTCATCTATCTTTTAAAAACCAGACAGTTTTTATTTTATTTTCATAATCACAATGAGATTGTTTCTCCAACTTTACTACAACAGGCTTATATTAAAGGCAATGGTACCTTCAATTACTCTTTTGCTTTGCTAAGAGTGTGCAGAACAATGCACTCTTCTTAACATTAATAAAGCCTAAATGTCCACGCATACGAAACTTTTTGATACACGTAGAGACAGTTGTAGAATAATCAGTTTTCAGCTTTGCTGTGCCTTCTGCTCACTTTTTCCTCTAGCCTATTTACACAATTTTTAGTCATAAGCTAAAAAAAACCTGAATATAACTAAACCAAAAAATTTTTTTTTAATGCAGTTAAAGGTTCTGTGATTTGAAGTCCAGAGCTTGCTTCGAGGTACGGGCCGTACCTCGAAGCAAGCTCAACGTAGCAGGATAAGTTTCCGTCTCTCCAGTTTAACCAAAATAACGGCAATCAGAATCAGCAGCACGAAGAACCTGATTATCAACTCACTTATTCTATCCAGCTTGAACTGATCAAGAACCTGTGAACACGGCCGTAAATTGGGACGGGGTCAAGGTTGTAAACCAATCACAACCATCAGTGCAGAGTACAGAAATATGAAGTGAGAGAAAAAAAAGTGTCAAGCTAAACATGGTGGCAACATGAGAGAAACACCAAAGGATTGCTGACTGCGGAAATGTGCATGTTTACACATCAGTGTCATTTAACACAGGCTGCTTAGCAATCACTTTGCTGCATGTTAATCGTATTCCCATCTGGAGGGAAGAGGACTTGGAGCAGGTAAAAATGCAACACAAAAACATTATTTAATCTGGTTAGTTGGACGTTTTCATTTAATAATGCGTGGGCTACAATCAAACTAGAAAAGGTATTGCCAGAGTCACTGCATCATGTTAATACAAGAAGGCATAAGTCTGAGTGAGATCATCCTGATTTCTGAGCAGTGCCAGAACCTCTTTTATTTCACCTAGCATATTACCATTCATACTGTTACAGCAAATACATTTTTTTTTTAGTTGTAATGTAGCTTTTATGTTTAACTTTCTTTTAATCGTTTTCAATTCTATCCCTCTAAATCTTCTACAGTGGTCATGGTGTCCTGTTGTAGAATAGGGGGTGTTACTAGGTTATTGCGAGAAGCAGAGAAAATAGACAAAACATGGCGGCTTTATGAAACACAAACTCCTGCTAATAACCACACCTATAAAACCAAAATGAAGGGCTGTTTATTGAAGAAAACACAACATTTGGCAACATGAATACATTTTGCCTCAAACCCAGGGCGGGAGAGAACAGGAAAGAAAAAGAGAGCTACCATTTGTTGAATGTTGAATGCAACATGGCACTGCACCTCAAGAGAGCTGGCAAAAGTATAAGACTAAGGCACACTTGAAAACAATACTATAAGGGATCAGATAGAGGAGAGATGTAGCACGAAAAAAGCTGTGTGATATGTTGTTGCAGGAGGAGGGGCTGAATTTGCATAAAGACCTGTCAACAGCAAGAGCTTTTGAAGCTGCGCAGGCAGAATCAAGACTTTTCATGGAGTGTGTTGTTCACAGAGTAAGAAACCATCATGTTACACTATTGAGATGAATCAATAGATCTAAAACTTTTTCCACATACACAATATAACCATTTCCCTCAAATATCGTTCATAAACCAGTGTAGATCTGTGATAGTAGGAACTTGTCCTCTGTTGAGGTAATCCATCCCACCATATAGGTGTGCTATATCAAGACATATGGCATTGAATGTGAAGAAATAACAGTATTTCCTCACAACCCTGTCCTCTCTGACCACTTTTTAATAACCTTCAGGATTACTTTAACAGAGTTCTCCTCCCCCCAAAGAAGGTTTCACTTTAGCAGATCATTATCAGACAGTATATATATATAAAAAAACTTTTTCACTTTCTCTCTCCTCTGTTCTGCTGAGCAGTCAAAAGTTAAGCTTGTTCCCCCTCGCAGGATTATGGTTTTGTTGATGGAGTTGCTAGTTCTCTGCGTGCTGCCTTGGGCAGCGCAGCCCCTTTGAAAAAGAAAAATGTTAAAAATGGAAAGCTGGCTCCCTGGTTTATTGCAGCGCTGCGCACTTTGAAGCAAAATGGAACTGCATGACTTAGACTTAGACAGATTTTATTTTGTTTACACCAGTGTAAACAAAAATAAATTTCATTTGGAACAGCTCTCTGGACAATTTAAAGTGCAGCCTTGAAAAATAGTTTAAAAAAATGTATATATATATATATATATATATATATATATATATCATATATCAGTCTGAATAGAGACTGAAACATTAGGTGGGTATAAAATTCTCTATACGGTTTACTTAAAAAAGAACAAAACTTTGAAAGTATATATCACGAGTTAGGCTTACAAGTAGAGTAGGTCACATGGTTAAACGTAAGTAACTTACAAACCTAAATGTAGTTAGTAATTAAATAAGCAGCACCAATGGAAATAACAAAAGTTAAATAGAAAATAATAAGTAAAGATAAAAAAAAGTATAATAGAAAGTTTTACTGCATTATTATGGTCATGGCCTGTTTCCACCTATTAACAAATATTTCTATTTGAAGCCTCAGGCAATAAGTTATTTGTTCCATATGATAGATTTCCCAGACCTTTTCAATCCACATTTTGTATGTTGGCGGATCAGGCTTCAACCATTTAACTGTGATGCATTTAAGAGCTGCAATCAGTAATATTTGTAGAAGGTATTTTTTTTTTCCTCTTCCAGTAATGTTAATAATCCAAAAAGTACCATCTCAGGATCTTTGTTAAAGGTTCTCTGAAATACTTTTCTTAGGGCCTCGAATATCTCATCCCACATTTTTCTCAATTTAGGACATGTCCAAAATATATGGTTGCTGATGTGTGACCCACAACTTCTCCAGCATTTATCTGAATGTATGGACCCCATTTTAGATATGACCGCTAGTGTCCTAAAGAAACGTATTATTATCTTCCACCTAAATTCTCGCCATGTATTAGAGTTAGTGACTTGATTCAATTCAATTCAATTCAGTTTATTTATATAGCGCCAATTCACAACACAAGTCATCTCAAGGTACTTTACAGTTCAACCAGATCATACAGTCAAATTGATTTAAAGTTTTCTATGTAAGGGAAACCAGTTGATTGCATCGACTCATTGACTCCAATACAATCCCTCACACTAAGCATGCTTGTAGCGACAGTGGTGAGGAAAAACTCAATTTTAACAGGAAGAAACCTCCAGCAGAACCAGGCTCAGTGTGAGCGGCCATCTGCTGAGGCCGACTGGGTTTCAAGGAGACAGAAGCAGAGATACAAAAAGCAGCTGTAAAAGGCGGCCCCGTCCAGGAAACACACAACCAGGCAGACGAGCTCCGAGCCAGCTCCCTTGTTGATGTCCCATTGATGCGTTGCAGTACATATTTCCTCCCATTTGTTTGTTGTTTCGCTGTATATCTATATTTATTTAACTTTTCCATTTTTCTTTGTATAAATTAACTTGTATAAATGACTAATAATTTTCTTATTGCCACTACCTGTTTCCAATTTTATCAAGAATTCTTCAATTTTAGTGGGCTCTAGGATTTTAGTTCACTCTCTGTGTTTTATTACAAAGTCCCTTAGTTGTAAATACCTAAAAAAAATCTGTATTGGGGAGTGTGAATTCCGCTCTTAGTTGTTCAAAGAATTTAAGGCACCCATCTTTGTGAAGTTGGTGTAGATTTGTAAGGCCTCGTTTAGACCAGTTTCTGTACTGGGTCCATCTGTGAGGGGACAAAATCATTTATAAGACCAATGTTGGTTAGTGCTGAGATTGATTTAGGCAGTCCATAAGTTATCTTTATTTTCCTCCAAATTTTCAGTGTGGTCCTAGTCCATTCGCTCATCTGAATCTCCCTAAGCGGGATGTCCAAAAAAGGAGAGTCTGTAAGGACCATTTGCATGTGACTTTCTCAATATTTAGCCATCTTGTGTGTATAGGATCTTGCAGCCATGCTATTACAGGTATCAGCTGCGCAGCCCAAAAATACAATCTGAAGTTTGGAAGTTTAAGACCTCCATGTGATTTGGACAATTGAAGTACTTTTAGTCTGACCCTCGGGGGTTTTGATTGCCATATGAACTTTGTAATCAACTTGTCTAATTTATCAAATGTAGATTTAGGAATGTCTACAGGAAGCATCTGGAAAGGATAGAGTAATTTAGGTAGTACATTCATTCGTATACATTCGACACGACCTATCATGGATAAGGAAAGTGTCGACCATCTGTCCAGCTCCTTACTAATGTTTGAATTAAGGTTGTGTAATTCACATCCAGTAGGTTTCCTAATAGTGGGGGGATTCTGATACCCAGATATTTAATTCCTTCTTTTGGCCATTTGAAACCACTCTGGGCCTTGAATGTGTGAGAGATTGCATTCCCTATATCCATAGCTGTTGTTTTTTCTATATTAACTTTATATCCTGAGAAATACCCAAATGTGGAAATAATGTTTTTTATATGTGGGATTGTTACTGTAGATTCAGTGAGGTAAAGAAGTACATCATCTGCATATAATGATGGTTTGTGTTGTTCTCCATTCATTGTGAGTCCCTTAATGTTATTATTATCCCTAATAAGCTGTGCCAATGGTTAAATACTCAAATCAAACAGTAAAGGTGAAAGAGAACAACCTATCCTACATCCTCGCTCCAGGGAAAATCGATCTGATAGAAAGCCGTTCACTTCAACAGTGGCTTGTGGGTTGGAGTA